GTCTTCTTTCTCCTGGGACTTTTTCAGCCTCCCTGCTTGTTTCTTTCCTTCTCCAAGGATATGCTCTGTTGCTCTTTTAGCCTTTCTCGTTTCTTAGCAGCTGCAGGCATACTCTCCTAGTGCTCTTTCAGAATCTCTGCTACTTTCTTGTTATTGTCAAGGTCTCTGGTGTGTTCACCATGGTTTTTTCAGGCTTTCTACTAGTTTCTTTGCCTCCTTGAGGCTACTCTGTGTTCTCTGAGTCTTTTACAGATTTTGGCTCATTTTCCCTTCTTTGATGCTACTCTTTGGGGCACTTGCAAGCTTTCTGCTTTTTTTTTTTTTTTTGGTCTTCACTGAGGCCACCCTTGGTACTACTGGAGCTGCTTTAATCTCTCTGATACTTTCTTGTTATTGCTGAGCCCCTTCAGTATTCTCTGGGGGATCCTTTGCCTTGTCTATTTCTTTCTTGGCCTCTTTGACACTGCTACATTTTGTTTCCTTGGGCACTTACAGGCTTTCTTCCCTTTCTTGATGCTGCTTTACGTTCTCTGAATCTCTTTCAGACTCTCTGTTGCTTTGTTGGCTTCTGCTTGGCTCCACTGTTTCATCTGGGGATCTTTCAGACCATCTTCTATTTTCCTGGCATTTGGAGGGCTATTCTGTGATCTTTCTTTATCTCAGTGTTTAATCAATTTTCATGGTTTCTCTGAGACTTCTCAGTGTCCTCTGGATGTCTTTCAAGCTCTCTACTACTTTGCCCTCTCTTCGACTATTCTATATTCTCTGGGACACTTGCAAACTCTTTCCTATATTACCAGGCTCTCAAAAACAATTTGCTGTTCCTTGGGGATCTTTCACACCTATTTCTGTTTTATTAGAGTATTGTTTTGAAGGAGGATGAGAGAGGATGGGGTGGGGGGATCTTTTCAGAGATGCAACAGCTTCAAGAGCTCTGGACTTCACTGCAGTGGAGTTGGAATAGATCTCTGCAAGTCACCTTTTGGAATTTTTTTTGTCCCCTTTTGGTTTTGGTGGTAGTTGGGGTTAGGAGAGAAATGAGCTCAAAGAGGCACCTTTTAAAAAATCCTTTATTTTTATATCATCCTAGTAAAAATCTTTTATATAAAGGCGAAAGTAGGTATTGCATAGAAGAAACACTGGTGCAAACATCACCTGGTGGGAATGGCATGTTGTTTCTTAGTGTCTACACACAGCAGATGGGTAGCCCATAGGCAAATATCTCCAGGTTTCCCCATGCCAGCTACAGGATGAAGCTGCTCAACTCTATGGAAAGAAGTTACATCAGAATTATATGTGCCCTATTCCATGCTACTCCCAAGAACCATCTGCTGGGAAAACACCGTTTTCCTCTGTGCCTTTTCTATGTTTGACAAATACATTGCCCAAGAAAGAGCATGAGGATCAGTTCGGCTGCCCTCTGCTTGCACCCTTCCTATGTGTGAGTTTGTATTTCATGCATACAAATGGGGCATGGACACAGGATAGGAGAGTTGGCTTAACATGACCGTAGCCCAGGAACAAAATGCATGACATGTACAAGGCATCTTCTGTCATCTTGGAGACATTTACGCCATTGTTTTTATCATCTCACATGCTCTTTAGCTATGGGCACTTCTTCTGAGTGCCCTCCACCTGGGCTTCCTATAGCTAACAGCCTTGGTACCACCAGGAGGGAACAGAATTCACTGCTGTCACTTCAACAGCTTTCAAGTAGGGGTTCTTCAAGCAGTTCTCCTATTATGTCTCTGCTCAAGTTCTGCTGCAGCTTCCAAGCATGAAGCACAGTGAGACAGCAGGTATGCTACAGTCTGAAGGAACAGAGAAACAGCACTTTCACACACTTAACTGTGCTTTCATGAATTATAGATACAGAGAGGTATGCATTTATACAAATCAATATTTGTGTATATTAAAGATACTTTTACTCAGTATCAGTTTTTATTTAAAAACATGCTAAAAACTTATAGTTAAATAATCAGAGTGACATTTGGGGAAAACACACAGATAGCCACCCACCAGCATAAGCAAAAAAAGTGCATACATACATGAGCCAAAGCTCCCTTTGACCAGTTTACAGGACAGTTAGTGCCTTCTCTGACAAACTGACTGATGCAGCCTCACACTTTCCAGGGCTGTTTTTTGTTGCCTGGAAAATGACATTACTTTTCTGCTCCTTTCAGGATGTCTGTTATCACCTCCCACACCAGAGAGTCAGCTAGAGACACAAATCAGCCCTGCTTTTGACTCCCTTCCTGTAGGTGGCTTCATAGAGATGAATACATGAAGCTCGTGTAACTATCTCACTTAATACTGTGCTTAAAATGCCAAAAGTAGTCATTAAAAAAAGATTTCAGGATCTATGCTGCTAGATCGTGAAATGGAATGAAGCATTCTAGAAAAATAAGTTTGGATGGAAGGCAAAGTAGCTGAGTTTGCAACTACACATTTCATCTCTGAGTTACTCATAAACATTTTTTATTTCCTTATTACTTTCACTAATATATTTTACCATTTTTTGTACAAAAACTGACTGCAGATTAAAATTTAAGATGCAGCAGGTACCACTGTGCGACCCAAAAGGACAGAGATGATGCTCCTGCTCAACCCTGCACCCTGCTCTTTTTGAACACCAGAGAAAGCTGGAGAAAGCTAAGCGCCTCTGCCCAAAGGGAGAATGCAGTGGAGCCATCAGATGAAAATCGTCCTGTATTTTCTTGCAAAAATGGGAACGCATCTTAGCAACTTCGGATACAGTCTTACATGTAGCAGCAAGTACACTGAGCCCCTTCTTCAACATGGAACATCCATCTCCAGTGGGGCTCAGATGCTCCTGGTCCCAATTTTTATTAGAAATTGAAGTAAAACTGGATTCAGTTTCTGTGCTTTCCCTCTGCTTCTTCCTTGACTCTTTCAAAGGCAATCCAAGTGAAATAGCTGAACCCATATGGCATTGTCTGCTTCAGTGGAAAACAAGAGCCCTGTGAAACTTTGGGCATTGTGCTCATATGGGCAAGGGCCATGCTCTAAGAATAGTAACCTCCTTCTTCACTGCAACACCCAAATTCATCGCTATCTCCCACACATTCACACTCCTTCCTGTGACACTGATTTCATAGGAACTCAAAAAAGTGACACGTAGGCCACACAAAACACTGTTGCTGCCAGATGTACAGATGCATGCAGGACCTATGAGGAAGATAAACAGGGGACTAAAAACTTCCATATATCAAGTGACTCAACAGCTATTTCAGCCCACAAGGAAAAGACAGGCTGAATAATACAATGAAAATGATATCTTTTAAGAGTTTAAAGTATAAATATTCAGACTGGACATTAAGAGAAACTTGTTTACCAGAGGAGTAGTTTGACATGGCATGGCTCTGAAAGGCACAAAATCTCCATCCTCAACAGTTTCTGAAACTCAGCCCAATAATGTTACAGTAAACCCCATCTCACATAGATGACAGTACCCCTTTGAGAGTGACATTGGATGAGGTAACCTCTGAAGGTCACTTCTGACTGCTGCTAATACAAAAAGCAGTGTTTCTTACAGAGCTGAGTCAAGCCCTGACCGGAGTTAAATCAGAACATCCTCCAGTGTCTGAGCCTTTCCTCCTTCCTTCACAAAACAGCAAAAACCTGAAACAAAGGGTAAATGGGGGCTGCTTGCAATGAAGCAGCATTCAAACTAGAGAAATATATGTTCAAGTTTTCTAACAGGAATGTTGGTAAAATGTTGGTTCACATGCATTGCAGTGAACTCTGAACTACCCCATTGGATGGACTTGGCAATCCGTCAGCAAGAACCAATTCTGTACTGAAGGTGTGACAACACATACTGTCTCTGAGTGCTGTTTTGGAAATTGCCCCTTTCCTGCATCATCTGGTCACCTTTAATCAAACCACCTTTTCCAGCTCAGGGACACAGCTGTCATCTGCCTGAGGAAACCCCTTCAATGAAGGACGTGGCATGACAATGTTGCCATCAAATTGCCATCCCCTTCCCTGATATCCAGCAGCGTGCCATGCCTTGGGCAAACTTTCTGAACAGGCAACACAATCTGTGAAGTCTGCTGCCAACTGGCCAGTAGGTCAGACTGCAATCTCTCTCCTTTGTGCCAGGGAGCAGTAACTTGCTTAGTCAGTACTTTTAGCTTTCAAAGTAGCATGACATCAAAGCAGCCAGACACTGCTTTGGGTGAGTAAAGGCATTGAAACTTTGCCTCACAGGACTAGGAAGCTCACCATCTGATCCACTGGGAAGGCATTGCATTCCATCTGAGAAAAGAGCCTCTGATTTGAAAGGAACCACCTTTGTTACAGTAAGGGCATCAAGACCCTGATAAAGGTAGATGATGCCTCCCCATGGACTTGAGAAAAGTTATGTCTTTATTTGCCTGCACCAACTGTCAACTTTGAAAGACATGTCTTCTGGATATCGCACAGTGGTTCCCAAATTAATGTACAATAAATGTGTAAAACCAAAAACAGCAAGAAGTTATAAGTCAGGCAACTAAATTCTAAGCTATATCCATCATAATCATCATCATCATCATCATCATCATAAAAAAGTATACACCGTAAGGTACAAGAAGCTGCAAAGCAAAGCAGCTCCAATTCCTAGGACTCTCAGTTAGAGTGGCTTTTCCGACTCTTCCAGTAAATTGGACATGAGGGTTGAAAACTTAATGGAAGACTTTGAATAATTCTCCCTTGAAGTGGAACACACATAAGTTTTGCACATATAGCATGGATTAGTAAAGCAAAACATTTTCTTAAGTTAAAAAACATTCTTAGAGCAGATCTATGATTTTGTGTAGAAAATCCATTTGTTTGGGGGGTTGCCCCCCTCTTTGGCAAATAAATGGCAAATGTGAAACAGAGAAAAAAATGAGTCAAATAACAAGTTGTGATAATAACTGGACAAGTAACAACAAAGTAGATCGGTCAATGGGACGGATTCCCTCAGCAGGGCTAGGCTTGATACCCTTTGTGGTCACTCCTTTTGTTCATTTTTATGATGAGACAGAAGGGTTGATGTGATAATGTTTCAGAGGCTTTAGGCATCATATTTTTTGCCAGTCCTGTGAATCTGCTGGAAGAGTGTCATGGAGAAGGCCATGCCAAGAATCTGAAGGAAAACAAACAATAAGGGCTTCAGTACAGAGAGACTGCCAAAATGGCACAGCTGACCTGTGTTCATGGTCCAGCTGTAGTTTTAAAAGTCATTCTGCATTAGCCGTATTTCTCAAGCTTCAACACTGATCAGTAAACTTGGACGTATGTTGTTCATTCACACAGTTATGTCCGGAGATGTATCTGTTAGAGCACAGATGGGGTCAAAAAGCTCTCAGGGCTCTTTGTCATATGTGCAACAATTTTTCAGAATCAATACATACTCTTCCTTTTTACCCAAAAACTTGTGCTTGTTTAGCCAGATAACTGTGACTGAAAAAATCAGATTCAGGTATTCTCCCCCAAAAGTACAGCAGTGATACAGGAACCCCCAAACCTTAACACATTATGATGATACCTCTGCATTTCTTTTTTAAAACACGTTAACCTGCTCAGTTCAGTGGCCATCATTTGACTCATTTTGGCAATTTCTAGAACTTGCTTCCAAAATTTACAGAAACAGTTCCCTAAGGGACAGCGTAACAAATGGTTAAACATGGGAACTCCAAAGTGGTGCTCTGAAGTCAAAATGCAGGTAAGCAAAACCACACTGTAGCATGTCTTCTTTGCAGTACTGACTGCTGACTTGCTTCCTTTCTGAGTAGATGACCTTAAATGAACTCATAAAACAAATCTGACATTTCTGAAATCACGATCAGACTCAAAGCGCTTAAGCACCAATTTTCACACAGCAGAATCAAGAACGCTGACAGCAAATCAAAGCCATGTTGACAAACATCATACCAGTATTACCTGCATTATGAGGATGCACATCCCAATCGAACCAAGGACATGCTTATTCTCATCGAACCAGGTCATAACTCTCTCATAACATCCCTGAAATGATGAAAGATGAAAATTGAAATCCCAAAGTCACGTTTTCTTTCACATGCATTACCTCTATTTTCTTCCTTCCCACCCCTCCCTAAGTCTTGACCTGGGCAAAGCGAGCCTTACCGTTTTCCACACTAATTCGGTGGAGTTCCGCCCACAGTCTTGGGAGTTTTCCGTACAACATCGGTCTGGGACAGTGTTTTCTCCCAGCACTGGGTACCAATCCGTAAAGTCATTCACACCACAGCATTTCATCTATGGCAAAAGTAAAGGATTAATAAATTAACTTAACTAGCACAATTTGAGAATCATGCACCACCACAAACTTTTACTTCCGCTAAACCACTGTATATTTTCAAAAGGGCTGCCACACACTTCTGTATTTTTAAAGTGCTTTGTGCTCAGTGATCACTAAAAGCAAATACTTAAAAACATAAAAAAACCCCAAAGAAAATAAACAGTCCCATGCCCAAGGTTATCTTACTCTTCTTGTCACAGAGACATGAGCCCAAACACCAAAACATAAAGTAATCTGCCCACAACTGCTGAACGGCAAAAGCCTAGCTGCCAAAGCCGCAGTTCTGCCTATGCAGATTTTGCTGCTTCTCCTCTATTTCAGATCATCTTTCTGCCTGTGATAGGCACAGAGAATCTCAGAGAGAGGTAAGCATCTTTCATGTTAGAGAGTACACTTTGATCCTGGGTTTCACCTTACTCCCTGGATGTTCAAGCGTGCAAAATCAGGAACCAAAGCCTGCATTAGCCATCTTTTAGAGTTGACACGGATGCCACAGTTAACAGACTGCAGCAGCCTTTATGGCCAAATTGTTACTTTTTTTCTATTGAGAAAATACGTACCTCTGCTTGAATGATATTCCATGCATTTTTCAGTCCAACATTATTTTCTGAATTGTATAGCTTCATACCTTCCTTCAAATCTTTCTTTGCACTCTCACTGACCTGCATCATGTAAAAAATACAGAAAGTCAATGCACTGCTGTTTAGAGGAAAGGACCAAATGGTACAGTCTTGCATACAGAATGTTTCTCTCTTACCTTCTCTCACCACAAACTTAATATGGGTAGAAAAGCTTCAAGACTCTTACAAGTCAATGGGACCTTTCAGCACCCACCAAGATCTAGTCTCTCCCTCAGATGGCAAAATACTGGATTAATTCTCGTAAGATAGGAGACCAAACAGCTTCCCCTCTGCTAAGAGTCCATCATACAGTCATTATCCGATCCAAACTAACTGAAGAGTGATGAGCAGACATCTGCTGAGCTTACTTTAACTTTGGCAATACCCCACAGCAGCCTCTCCTGCCTGTAACCTATAGCCTACTTTAATTTCCTAATATCATAAAACCAGAGTCCCAGCCTCCCAACCTTAACATAGTTATCCCTTGCACAGGCTATAATAAATGGCCAATACAAAATCAATTGACAAAGGGCATTACTATTGTTCTCCTTGAGGGGACAGGCTTCTAGGATTTATGACTTTCAAATGTGCTCTTCTTTCTTTAGAGGAGAAAGTTGGAATGCTTAATGGGAGATCTGAGATGTCCCATTTCTTGTATAAATTTCAGTTCGAGCCTGGAGTCCTGGATGCAGGTAGGAATGTACCTGGGCTCTGACAGCAGTGAGCTGGCAGCAGAGAAAGGATTAACCTATGGGTGCTGGCATAAAGGCCGACTATATTATAAGATCTGTTTCGTCCCGCTTTGACATCCCATTCAAACTCAGAAGTTCACCCCAGCTCCCTGAAAGCAGCAGGCATCATAATGACAACCTGGGAAGAGATACAAATTGGGTAGGAGCACAGTTTTAAAATCAGTCTGGACATGCTCATACTGTAAGGCTCTGTCCTGTCTTTAGCAGAGCTCTCCAGTTCCCCAAGGATTTTTCCAGTCTTACCTATCTGACAGGCCAGCCAGTTGTGCCTACTTCACTTAGTCTCTACTAGATAGCAGATTCCTACAGTTGGGCTTTATGAGGAGCTGCCTCTTGATCTGCTCCGCACCCTTGTCAAACTCTCTGGGACTGCCCAGTCAACTGAGACAGCTGGTGGCATCTGGAATAACCTTTGAATATCCCAGGCCTCTCCCCTCCAGTCCTGTTCAAGGGTTGGCCCTAAGAAGCTAACCAGGTCTTAAATAGGACTTCCCACAACCCAGGTCCACAAGATGATCAGTTTCTTGCAAAGAAATCAAACAGCTATGTTGCAGGCTATCTTAGCTTTTAGGAAAAGACTAAAAGGGAGGCCCTGGACCATGGTTTTACTTCAGGGAGGAAACTGTAAAGCTCAGCGAGTTCTTCTCTCCTGTTTGCCCTCCTCATCATTTCCTCCTCCCCCTGGAGAAGCAACTTACAGAAAACAGCCAAGATCTCAAGGTTAAACCTTCACCAAAGTGAAGAGCAAGGAGAACCCACATACCTCCATCAAACAAAAGCAAACGGAACCTGGTTTACATGCTAGTACAGATAATTAATCTATATGGCGTATTTGCTTACCTTGTCCATATAAACAAAGAACAAAATGAGTAATATCAGCTCTGCCAGGAGAATTATCAGCAAAACGATGAAAAACTAGAACAAAGGAAAAACAGACAGTGTATACACACTTGCCAACTAGAGAGCAAACCTGGGGCTGCTAGAAACTCTGAAGACTATAGGCCTTGTCTTCTAAACCTTTCCTCTACTGCCAAAACCATGCAAGTTTGCTTTCAAACTATTCAGGCATATTGATACTATGTTGCCACTAAAGCTCCTGTAGGTCTCACCATCAATGAGGAGGCTCACTGTCTAGTATTCTCTAAATCTTAAGAGATTTAGAGAATGCTAGAAACCTACTACCAGTTTGCAGGTTTCAGCAATGCTTTTGTCTTGCTTTTTTTGACTGCTGTCAAGCACACAGCCCTGATAGTCTCCTTCCTTCATACAGACTACAGAACAGATGCTAAACCCATTAACACAAAGATCAATGTGACGTGCCTCAGGAGTGATTCCCTAGCAGTTGGGCTTTAACCACATCTGACTGCCTGTTGAGTCATTATATTACTCAGCACTTCTATTCCAAACTCTCTGTAGCTGAAATCTCTCTCTGTAGGGGCATCCCAAGTGTGAGCTCCAGTAGTTTCTCATTACTTTCCATGCCTGCTAGTGGCCTTTATGTACTCGTGGACTGCCACGTAGGCACGGCATCCCCCATACAGACACTGGGGGAGATGTAGTATGCAGTGCAGCAAGCTCTCCAATCGGAAACTCGTGATAGTCATGACAGTATAAAAAGACTTTTGTAGAACCTTGTAAGAACATAAACACTCTTAAAAAAAAAAAACACAAAATTCAGCTGGTGTTGCAGTTTGTCTGGATGAACGACATAGACTCATTACTATTCTCTGTTTGCTTTGCTAGCTGTACAACATACAAAACCAAGCAAAACACAGGTGCACATTTGTCTTCCAGTTTTATTCTCTGAGGTGGTCTAAGGAATGCTGCCCAGCTGTTCCCCAACACCATGTAAGGGAGACTTTTACACAAGGAAGACTCACATGCTCCTTAATGTCATTCCACCTGTGATTCATAAACTGTGAAGCTGCCTGCTTTGAAAGCCCTCCTCTCACCTTCTGCCACAATACCTCTCTCCTTGGGGTGGGGATAAGCATGATGAAGCCTCCTGCGTTTATAGCAAAAGGAGTGACCCACACTGTGTTTCCTGAGAGGGGTTCCCAACCTCTGTGCTTCAGTGCTGCATAAAGACTGCCAAGGATCAGTTTATTTTTTTTTTTTTATTGGTGAGGCCTGGCAGAGACCTTGACTTCTTAACTTTGGGTCAGATGGTTTCCACCAACTTCTGACAAAGGCCTTACAAAAGGCTATTACACAAAATAGCCATGAGAGGCTTTGAGTGGCATCCAAAAGCAGCTGTGCTTAAGATTTTTCAGCCAATCCTTCTAACAGACATTTCCAGAAGGGCTATCCAGGTTGACCCTACAGTTCATGTTTAACCACTCAGAGGTAACTGATAATAATTTGCTTTGCTCTCTAATACATTAGGGGACACAGTAACAAGGATACATTTGCTACTACACCAATGATAGCACTGTGACCAAAGCTGTGGGATGTCATACTGCAAGCATACAGAAGATTGAAATCCAAGGGCAATATCATAGTGATCCACAAAACATTTAAATAAAATAATAACAAAGCAATAGTCACTGTTCTTAGTGAAAAGAAGTATTGATGTCTTACACTCAACAGGAGGCACTTGTTTTCCTTGATAGCACCTAGGCAGCCCAGAAAGCCGGTCACCATGATGACTGTACCAATGGCAATGACTAGGTTGGCAGCTGAAAGCGACGGAAAGCTAGGAGAAAATGTGGCGAAGTTTCCTTGCGACACAGACAGCCAGATGCCCACACCCAGCAGCCCACAGCCACATAACTGCAAAGAGATAAAAAAAAGAAAGGTTTCACCATTAAAATAAATGGCACTGGCTCCTTCCCCCTGACTCTGAAAGGAAAGAATTTCTCAAGCAAATTCTCAGGAAACTGTTCTGCAGTAATGCTCTCACTGGCTTGGTGCTGAAACAAAGTGAAACTAAATGTTCTTACATAGACTTGGTCATGTCACCTATACTTATAAATCTATTCAAAAGCCACTGGATGGCAGAATTCTCTTTTTGAAGAATCAGCACCTGAAACCATGGCTACCCATTGATCTCCCAACAGCACAACCCAATGCAATTTTTCTGTAGGAAGATAAAAAACATTATTTGAAAGAATGCTCCATTGCACTTATTTCTGCAGCCATCTACAATGTCTCAGAGTATCCAGTCCCGTATTTCCTTATCCTAGGGCAGGCAAGGAAGTCCTGGAGATAATTACAATCGATAGTATCATTTCAATAAATATTTCTCATAAAATGCCCAGTCCCAGTAGCCACATTGGGTTTTAGTATGAGTTCTCATTGCTTTACTGTTGTTTGCCAGTGTTCAATGTCACAAAAATCAGATTTCTAGGTTTATTATCTACAGGAAGCTCAACTTCTGCTACTCTCTGTCAGTGAGAGAACCTGAAGGAAATGCAAAGTTGCTAATAAAACATAAAATTAACTTCACTTTGCTTCTCACTCTTAACAATACCATGTCTGGTTAAGGAAATAAGGTTTCCCACCCTAAGTCATGTGGCAGGTCTTCAGAACAATGGCCAAGTGTTGCACTACAGGGGGCCTAAAAGCTGGCCATCTTCTAGTACTTGCTCAAAATGGCCATCATACAACTTTCCATCTGATCTGTGATCACTATGCAGTGAAATCAGAAGTAGGAGTTAGTTGCGCTTACATTAAATCTGTGAGCTATTAAACAGCACTATTAGAGTTTTCTGCCAAATCTAGGCTTTGCCAAGGTCAGAGGTGAAATTCACATCACCTTCACTGGCAGGGGGATCAGACTACATATTCCCCCCCCCCCCCCAACTCAAGAGTATTTTGCTCCAATTTACTTGGACCACTGCACGGGAAAAACAAAACAGCACCTAATCATGACTCACAGTGATATCCCAAAGCTGCTGGTGCTCACCTGTCAGCAGTGAGGAACAAGAAGAACAAAAGTTCTTGCCACCTAGCAGGTTCGCCACACCCAGCCCACGCCATTGTGCTTGCATAAACTTACAACTTGTACTCAAACTGGAAACTCAAAGTCCACTAAAATAGGGTTCAATCCTGCCTCGTGATAAGCACTAATCTGGCATGGTGAAGAGCTACAGACCTAACTTTTTTGGCAAACATCCCCACTTCCGTCTGAGGTAATTTTACCAGCAGATAGTTCGGGGTACAACTGGCTCCTTTTGGTTTTGCTGCTTCACAGAACATGAAAGAAAAACTAGAATAGTATCTTCTTGCATTTATGTCACTTTACCTATGAGTCAGGCTTATGTTTTCATAATCATATGCATAGTTATTTTCTTTTACTTCCACTGTGATGCTCCTGTCCCCTCTGAGCCCCCTTACTAGTTTGCTTGAAACTTTTGAAACTGCTTTGCATCTAGGGAGATTCACCAGTTTGGTGAAGAATTATGACCAGGAGTAGGTCTTATGCAAGATGCTCACAGGCATTCCCATGGGAGGCAGAGTAAAGTGTCTCCCAATGTTCCAAGTCCACAAGAGCTAACATCATGCAAAGCATAAAAATATAGGGTTGTGTAGGCAGAGAAAGAGAGTAAGAGATAACTATACTGCATTGGTGGTTATTTCCAGGTCCCCTTGCACCTAAGCATTAGCTTAGCAATCTGAAAAAAACCTCCACAACTGTCTAAAGCTCACAAGCACATGCATTGGGTAACACAGAGGAAATTTTCAGCACTCTTGTAAGGAGGCTGGGAAGCACCCCTGCTTCCAAAACTCAACACACAATAACTTTACAGAGTGAGTTGGGGAGCTCTACATCACTGGTTATGGATAAATGTCACAACATCTGTTTCCTGTAACAGAGCTGGATGCAGCTGCAACATGAGCGTGTGTAGCAGGAAAAAGTCAAACAGCTACTATCCCTATGAAAAGACTGGTACAAAACATACACACATACATGTGTCAGGAAAGGGCTACAGGACTTTGATCTCTTCTCCCAAACCCGTCCTCTCCAATTAATAGTCTTGAAGTGATTTCTCATTGCCTTTCACGGTATGTCAGCAAGGTCAATGTGAACTTGGAGTAGTAGAGAACTGTGGGGGGATGCAAAACAGAAGTCTCCTGATCACATCCTGCTGCAGGACCCAGTGGACATCACCACAGGTTTAAACTGTCTGCAGTTCATGGAATCACTCCTGCTTTAAATGTCATCTACTCTGTCCTTGAATTGCTGCAGTTTTAGTGCCTCAAGCCTTCTCAGGAATCCACTCTGTGGCTCAGCTGCTTCAACTGTTAGATGAGAAATGCAGGCAGTTGGTTCAGGCTGAGAGCTTGATGGTTCTGGAGGTTAGGAGCTCTCATCACACAACATTCATTTAAGGTTTTAAACGGCATTTCTAAGCTGCCAGGGCTGTACATTGCCAAGAGCTGATGGCACTTGAATCAATGACTTCATGACACTCCATGGATGAGACTGTAACTGCTTCCAAAGAAGTTTCTACCACAGACTGAAATTGTTCAATATAACTTTCCTTCAGAACCTGAATTCACACTTTAAAGGTTATTCACAAATGTGTTACTTGGACTTTCATACTCTATTAAGCTCAGAAATCACAGCCCTAGCTCAAGTGTTTTAAAAGAGGGCAGTGAATTCTGGAATCATCAGGCCAAAAGCAATAGATCATTGCAGATAATCAAGGTGGTGTAAGAGCAAGACCAGGGCAAAAGGCTTACAGAGGAAGGGCAAGTAAAGGACAAAAAGGAGCACATGCAATCAATAGAAAGATCAGCCCATGAAGTGTTGCACCTCAGTATCCAACTCCAATTATGAGGATAGTAGCAAAAGAGGTAGAAGAAATTACGAGCATCTCTTTACCATTTGAAAAAAAGGGGCACAATCCTTGACAGACGTTGTGTCTAAAAAAGAAAGGTGGCTAGGAAATGATTCCAGAAGGCTTATGTTTATGTTTATTGAGACAAAGTCAGAAGCAGCTAATCGCTTAGATGAGGGAAGAGAGAGCTACCTTCAAGCGTATGAAATCAGGAAAGTGACAGGCCCACTGATGCTCCATGGGATGGACATGAAGACAGAAAAGGACCAAGAGCAGAAGGAGAATCAAAGCTGGAGAGCAGAAAAATGGACAGATGGCCTCTGTCCCTCTGACAGGGTCTCAGTTCAGGAGACCCTCTATATACATTTGCATACAGGAGAGATCATTTCTTCACTTGCTTGTGGTAGCCACCCTAGTATTTTGGTAAACTCAGGAGCAAAACACTTTGCTTTCTGGCAGAAGACCAGTCACCTACTGCACCTTTACCTTTCCACGATGCCTCTAGCAGGGAGGAAGCATTCGACAGTTGATGTGAAATGTTTGCAACAAAGGTCTTGTGGATTAGCAACACACCTGTGCTGTCCCTAGGCAGACCACTATGGAGATACAACTTGAATGCCAGACATCTGAACATGTTGGGAGAAGAGTCCTTTACAATGCAAAATGAAGTGGTATGTCAACTGAGGAAGCAGACATGTCCACATGTGCTAATTCTTCCTGCAATCCTAATTTCCCGCTGAAGACAACCATGGAATAACTCCTTTCCAACTGCTGTAGTGACTGGGTTAACGTGCCAAAGTGCACAATGTGATTACAGTTCACTTCAGAGCTTTCTGACAACACACATTAGTGCAGTACTACAATTATACCACAGTATCTGCACTGATCATGCTCTCACCATGGCTGATTCCCAGGCCCACTGGGCAAGCTAAGGGAAGTTCTCCTTTTCCCAGACTTCTTACCTCCCAAAGTAAGATTTCTCCATCCCTAAATTTCACTGAAAGTTCAGATTACATAAAAAATCAGGTGATGGAGGGGCTATTAAAGATCACGGCTGATCTATGCAAACAGGATTATCTACAGTGACTGAAGAGAGTAAATAGTCAGGAAGACTTGCAAGAGATTTGATAAAAGACATGACATCCTAAAAAATTCCACAAGGTGGCATCCCATACCAAATAGCATTAACAGTTTAAGTCAAATTCTATTTTTTTCCTCTCCAGAGCTCCTCAATTTTTGTGCTTTCTTCTCTGTTTTTATCTCTGTCATTCTACTGTGTAGCAGCACTGTTGATGCTAAAATTTATGCTTTACACCTTAGGTCCCAGGCCAAATGCTTTTTTCACTCATGCTTCTTAAAAAAATCCCAAATAATTCCACTGACTTGGGACTTAATTGCATACAGCCATACCAACCAAAACTATCTAGAATTCTAGCAATAAAATAGCTTTCCCATTGACACTCTACCAATCTCATTTTTTATACAAAGTGAACACTGTAAAAATGCTCTCACAGCTATTTATTCTCACAGGATCCACTTCTTTCTGTCTGGTGCAACTGAATCCTGGAGGGTGAAAGCAGCAAAAATATATCAAGTCATCTTATAAATTCGTTTTTCACCATATAATTAAATAATATATGCTGCTTGGTATTTAATTGCGTGAGAGTGATGGCACTGACATGCCTTGCCCAGGGAAATGGTTCAACAGCATAATAAATTTCACTGGATTTTTCTTCTCAAAAAATGTTGGCTCATTTCCCTCTCATGATTAGAAATTATCATCCTCCAGGCAACCATCAAATCTTTCCTTCCCCAGGTGTTTATGTCATGAAGGTAACTGCAGAACACTATCATAAAGTCAGTCACATACATGGATACACACACTCTTACTTACAGGGTAATTTAGTCAAGCTATGGCACACATATTTTGAGCTTGAAAGCAAACAAAAGGAACACCAACTTCCCTCACAGTTTCTCCCTCACTTTGCTATTGCACTATCAAAGCCTGAAGTCTCTTCAGTACCTCAACATCCACCTGTCATCATCACTGTGCCCAGAAAACATACAGCATTCTAGGAAACATTAAAAAGAGTCTCAAATGCTTCAAGAGAAATTAGAACTCCAGATAAACCCAGAGAGACAGAAACCCAAAAGCAAGTCTTTCCCTGACAAGTGCTCTCATCAGAGTGGGAAAGGGCCTCTTTTATTTGATTCTGGATTTTTGAGCATTGTGTGAACTAATACAACAATATAAACTTTGACAATAGAGCATCATATCCAGATTTAGTTGCCTTAACCTAAAGAAGATATAGTAAGAGGTTACAAGACCTAGGGAAGGACAATACAGACGGTCAGAGGTATGCCAAGACTGACATATTGTACAGAAGGAGATTGTGCACAGGATTATCTAGCCTGGGAGGAATTATTAGACAGGATGTGAATGAAATATTCACAACTCTAGAGGTCAGTATGAAAACCAACAGCCTGTCTCTTTAATATTTTTCAGTAACAGGAACAAGGGGAATATTAGCAAGCATTATGTAGTATATTTTGCTTCACATAACGGAGAAGTAAATTGATAAATTATGCCATAGGTGATTACAAGAATCAAGTACTGTGGCCACAATTGTCAGTAAGGGCTAGATAATTTTATTTATTGGTAACAGCATTTGTAGTTTGTTAGCATACACACAAATAATGACATTACATGCTTCTCAGAGTAAGATAATGTATGCAGAATCCAGCAAAACTACCAAGCAGCAAACAAGTTGGGGTAAAGAAGGGGTAGGATATGCCATTCTGGTAAGGTTTATTAATAGAATAATATTGATAGACTTACCCTTGAAGTAAGTCATTGAAACAGCATCAGGAAACAGGAATCTGATAAGGAAGGCACTACCAAGAGGAAAAGGGATGAGGCCATACTTTTGCTGACTTTTGCCATCATTCCATCCTGGGCACACAATGTATGATGGAAAAACTGCACAACTAGGTGTGTGAGAGAACAAGAGTGCAGGGAAGATTTATGCTTGACATCAGACTCTCTACTGCTGGTTAAACACCAGGGGGGCTCTTAACAGACTTGGAATGGAACAGAGACATATAGAAACCAAATACTGAGAGACAACCACTAGGGGCAAAAAGAAGCAGCAAGTGTCTCTGTTTGTACCTCCACTTCGAATAACATGCCCTGGGCCATCTGTGGCCCAGTTACAGAGAACAGAAAGCTCCCCATCTTCCTCTGTGCTGTGTTAAAACAGGTGATCTTGCTTGAAGCAGAGATGATGCAATGAAAAATACATGGAACAGCTTAAATATGGCCCCCATAAAAATGGCCAAAAGCACAGGAGGTTTGTTACGAGCAATTACTAACAGCATGACTGCGAAAACAAGTGTCAGTGCTGAGAAGTGATTTCAGGACAAATGCAGTGACAAAAAGACACTCCGAATTAGGTTTTGACAGGCCTCTATTAAAACAAGAAGTCAACAGGGAGATGACCTGTACCAAAAGGACAAGGATGAAGAAGCCATGTGGACAACCAGAATGCAACACCAAAGCCTAGCACAGAAAGGTTTTTCAGTGTCTCGGTGGCTCTTAAAAATATCCCTTCTGTTGGGGTCAGCAACACTTCGGAAAAGCTGCCAGTAATATTTTCCATCTGTTTGGTAAGTCCTACAACATAAAGGTTACCTATCTTAGCTCTTCTTTTCAGGATAGAGAGATTTTCCACCATTTCTCCAAACTGACTCTCAGACCAGTCAGTGTGCAGAAGAGATGAGGAAGAGAATGGCCCTTATGAAGCAGCACGGTCTTCTCAGTTTGTCCTTGGTTGTTTTTTTTGTTTCTTTCTTTCATTTTCCTCTCTCTTTCATTTATGGTATCTTAATGAGCTCACAAGTTTCCTATGGAATCAAAAAGCAGCACATCTTGGAAAACAGTTTCAAAGGCTGTTCTTTCCCACCATGCATGGATTTTTAAAGAAAACTTCTATGAGACATGAAGATGAACATCATCTTCTTTAACAGCTGGAAACCTGATTCTCAGGAAGAGTTCACATCTTCTACGCATTTTGGATCTGGTGCTTCATTTGGAAGCAGTCTGGTGTGGTGATTCAAAACAGTAAGAGATACTGTTCAAAAAAACACCACCCTCTCTTCCTGTCTCAACAGACACAGCACTCCCTGTTCTTGTTTCAATGCACATTAACCTAAGTTTTGGAAGATGCTAACTTGATTGTCCAGAAAGATTATCACCGCAAATAACAGAATTTTTCAAACTATCACAATGCATTAACTGCTCAGTTGAGAGCACAATATTAACCAAAGCGGGGGGCAACTTAAAGGGGAAAGGGGACTCAAAGCTCAGCAGTAGAGCCATTCTATTCTTTTACTGTCAGACAGAGGTGCTCATCTTTTGCTTTTGCAGTATTCTTCCGTGAGTTACAGATCAGAATGATTGTTCTGGAAGGAGGCAGGGATGGGAACTACATCGTTTCTACCGATTCAAAACAGAGATATACTTTCTGCAAATTAATGCCACTTGCCATCTCTGGATTTGGGTGATTCGTCCATCTCTGGAAAGGGCTGGTGCTTAAAGGAGATTTTCAGGTAAACCCAGATACATTTTCCTGCTCTGTCTTCATAATCCACAGGATTAATCAAAACTGGGGCTTAACAGCTGAAAATCTCAGAGAAAGTCTCTTGCAAAGCAAAATCATCTTCTAAATACGATCCAAAATATAGCAAGGACACCAAAATCTGAGTTGTTCTTCAGCCATAGACTAGAAAATGAGAATGGAGTATCGAAGTGGGTGAATATACTTAACAATACCTACTTAGTGGTGCTGCCATAACAATATGCCAAAGATTTAAACTCCTGTACAACATTCCTATGAACTGGACACTGACGCAAGGAATTATTTCGATATCTCCTTTGAGACTAGTGCTGTAACACCTGTAATGACAGCCTGTGTGTAACAGAAGGTACAGAACTGGAAGCTGTGCAAATGCTGAACCTCCTTAATTCGTCTGCCAGAGAAAGTAGTTATCCTCTTCCTAGAGCCATCCCCTAGCAGTACTGCTGGGATGGTCCTGAAAAATTGAAATGAGGTATCAGAGACTGTGATCTTTTGTGAGTCTAGCAGAGGGAGAGCTACCCTGAGGAGCATTAAATTCTGAGACTTTTACCAGTCTGTGTTTTTGGAATGTGTAAATTTGCAGCCAGAAGCCTTAAGCTTTGGCTTGGATGCTCTCACGTGGTCATATTGGAGTCTTCAATAAAGGACGTGTTTTGCAAAATGAAGTTGTAAGAGCTGGGTTTGCTTGGTTTGTCAAGGACAGCTTACTTAGTTGAAGGGCAGCTTGGGTAGTTTATGTTGCACGTTAGGAGAAACTTTCACCGAGAAATTAGTATAGCACTTGGAAGAAGTTACCAAGAAGGTGTCAAAATCTCCAGTCTTAGAGGTTTTCAGTGCTTTGCTAGAGACAGTAACGGCTGACCTGACCTAGCACTAGCAACAGTACCACTTCGATATGACTTGCAGAGATTCCTGCCAAGCAACAGTTCTATGATTTTATAATTTCCTTAGCTACCATGTTCTTCCTAATTTGTGAAAAATCCAACAACCATGCCATTTCTAATGAACACAACAAATCTATTACCTTTGGAAGCCTTACGGGGAAAGCTCTCATGCCCATTCTGGGGAGTCAGCATACTTGGGTGTCTTTCTCCAATGCCTGTACACTAGTGCATGCAACACAGGGAACAAATAGTAGGAATTGTACATCTGAGTGCAGTTACAGGGCTATGACATCACTGTGATCACACAAATAGTGGGATAACTCACATAACTGGAGTGATGGATGGGTATAGGCTCTTTAGGAAGATCAGGCTGGGAAGACAAGGAGGGGATGTTGCATCTAACGTGAGAGAGCAGTGGAAATGCATAGAGCCAATCAAGAGTTATGAGTCATATTAGTAAGCAGACCAATACAGGTGATGTTATAGTAGGTATCTGCTATAGATCTGATGAGGCAGAAGAAATAGATGAGGCCTTCTTCACACAACTGGAAGAAGTCTCATGTTCACAGGCCCTGGTCCTCATGAAGGATTTCAACCACCACAATGTCTGCTGGAAGGACAACACAGCAGGGCACAAGCAATCTAAGAGATTTCTGGAATGCACTGGTAACAATTTCCTGACACAGGCGACTGAGGAGTCAACAAGAAGAGGTGCTCTGTTAGACCTGCTGCTTACAAACAAGGAAGAACTGGTTGGGGATGTGAAGATTAGAGGCAGCCTTGACTGTAGTGACCATGAGACAGTAGAATTCAGGATCCCATGAGGAGGGAGCAGGGCAAAAAGCAGGACCACAATCCTGGACTTCAGGAGAGCAGACTTTAATCTCAGAGATCTGAGTAGTACAGGTTTCAATGATGTGCAAGGTAAGAAGTGACTAATGCCCACGCCCAGCTTCCGGCAGAAGTCCCACCCCCCTACCAGCAGCCTCAGGGGTCACTTGCCCCAGCTGTCATGCCCCTCTTTTGGTCACATGGTCTGTTGTGATTGGCTGGCAGGACCCGCCACCCCTACAGGTTTAGGTTTACCCAGAAGTACATCAGTCCCGGACAGCCTCTCCCCATACATACACAGGGAACATTACCCACGCCCAGCTTCCGGCAGAAGTCCCACCCCCCTACCAGCAGCCTCAGGGGTCACTTGCCCCAGCTGTCATGCCCCTCTTTTGGTCACATGGTCTGTTGTGATTGGCTGGCAGGACCCGCCACCCCTACAGGTTTAGGTTTACCCAGAAGTACATCAGTCCCGGACAGCCTCTCCCCATACATACACAGGGAACATTATTTTGGTTTGGCCACCGTTTTGACAGGGC